GCTCAGTCGTCTTTTGGGGTTCTAGGGGTTTAGGGCTTCAGGGCTTTAGGGGTTTATAGGGGTTTAGGGGTTTAGGGGCTATAGGGTTTAGGGCTTATTGGTTCAGGGTTTAGGGTGGGGTTTGAGAGGGTTTAAAAAGGATTCCTGCAAGGCATCTCAGTTGTCTTTTGGGGTTTAGGCTGGGGTTTAGGGTTCAGAGTTTAGGATAGGGTTTGAGAGGTTTTAAGGAATCTGTTTAGGGTTTAGGGGTTTAGAGTTTAGGGTTGGTGGCTTAGTACCTGAGGAGGTAACCTTTGTTAGCCTTTTGGGGTTTATTCAATGAGCCCTACCATACTTGAAAAGGCTAGCCTTTCTTGGGCCGGGGTGCTCTGCCCCCAAGCAGGGGCTTCAAACCGAAGGAGTCTATAAAGGGCCCGAAAGGGTTTCACAAGGGTTTCGGGTTCTAGTCCGGTTTGGAGTTTGGGGCTTTAGGGGTAGGGTTGTGGCTTTAGGGGTTTGGGGTTCAGGGGTTTAAGGGTTAGGGGGTTTGAAACCTTATTGAGGCCTTAAACTTGTGGTTTATGATGGATTTGTATGAGGCTTATCAACACTTTGTAGGGAAAGACATGTCTTTGCTTGATTGCTGTGGGTGTTTGGGGTTTGCGGGTTGGCCAGTGTTTGGGGAGTCGTTTCTCCGAGTCGGGGATCCAGGAACCCTAGATTCGATGTCAGAGGGGTTGCTATACAGGAGAGTGCTACTCTAATTGGGATACTAGAAGGGCTATTGCAGGGAAACTGTGAGGGTGACTATAAGGCGGCAGTACTTGGAGGATCAGGGGACTTAGTACGTATGGTTATAAGTCCCCTAATTGGGGTTGCAAGTAATTATAAGTATAGTTGCCTTATTTATAACCCTAGTTACTAAGTCCCATGATCCTTTAAGTAAATACTTTGGGAATGTTGGAGATCTAATCTCTCAAGTTGCTTGGACCTACGAGCCTAGCTGACAGCATCCGACAGTATAAGAAGCGATGCTGTGAGCACTACGGTTGATGATATACATCCTGCATTATCCAGAATAAGGAATATACCATAATTCCCATAGTTTAGGGTCTTTCAGGTAATGCAGGGTTTATATCATCAACCGTATGAATGGCGACAGCTTGGCCCTTTGAAGACCAGTTTGGCAGCTTAAGGGGACACAGAAGAAGGTAATCGTACACTCCGAACCATATGCCCAGCAAGACCCTAAAGCACGGCGCTTTCGGGGCACGGCAGAAGGCGTAGCGTCAGAAGTCTTGAACCCTATACCCTTGCGCAACCCTAACCCCCCCCAACAAAAACTCCCCAGGCAACCCTCAGACTTGAACCCTGAAGCAAAAGCAAGCAAGCACTGAACACCTGAAGCCCTGTACTTGCACCCATGAAGCCTAAGCCCTAAACCTAAACACACCTCAAACAAACCCTGGACTCCAAATATATGACTCTAAGCAACCCAAAGAAAGAACACCTCAACTGGCAAGTCTCAAAACCCAATAGAGATACCGTTGATGATATAAATCCTGCAGTATTAGCAGGACCCTGCACGATGAGAATTATGGTATATTCCTCATTATGGGTAATTCAGGATTTATGTCATCAACCGTATGAAAATTCTTTGAAGCTGTTTAAGAGGTCAAGCCGGCGTTGAAGACGGTAGACCTCGTCGACTCCGATGACGACATCGCGGTGTAGGGGACCCGAGGGGCGTTTGGGGGGGGGGGGGTTGTTGGGATCTAGGATTCAGGGTTTCGGGCTAAGGGTTTAGGGTTCAAGGCTTATGGTTTGGGGTTGTTAGAATTAGATTTTACGAACGGTTCAGGATTCGGAAGTTTTTTTTTTTGCGGGGGAGGGGGGGGAGGGGGTTCTCTTGCAGTTGAGGGCTTGAGGCAATTAGGGTTTCCATGTCTCTCAAGTTAGTTTGGTTCTACCATTTGGGGTTTGGAGATTCAGGGGTTTCGGATGTATGGGTGCCATATCAATGGCAGATGCTTGGAGGATCAGGAGACTTATAGTAAGTAAGGTTATAAGTACTCTAATTGGAGTTATAACTGTACGTATAGTTACCTTATCTATAACCCTAGTTACTAAGTCCCATGCCCTTTAAGTAGGTCCGGTGACGATGATGACAGATGAAGTTAAAAGGCTGAAGCTGAAGACCGTAAGGTTCGGGTGCATTTGCCTTAGATAGTAAACGGGGGATCTTTAAACTTTTTGGTCTTATATATGAGCTCTATCTTAGAAAGTTCGAACTTTTAGGGGCCCGGTTGTTGAAGAAGAGAGTGCCGGCAATGTTGGGGCCTTAATAATTTTGGGTGTATGATATACAATGCTGCAGCAGGGATCCCGAAGGAAGAGTGTTACTAAGTAGCCCGATGTCTATATTAGGTAAATGCTTGGAAGAGTTGGCGTGCGGTACTCATGGACTCGTGCTGGCTTTACTTTATGTCTTGCCCAAAAATGGCCAAAGTGGGCGAGGAGGGGGTTTGCTTGCTTTCAGCATGAGCTGACTGTGGGTCGCAAACCCCTCTAGAGTGCGAAGCTTTGAAGCAGCCGCTGGACATGCCGTCGGAATCCCGCGCGGTGGATTCGCCGGGCAACCGCTGCCATCTGGGCACCGTAGAACAAGTGGCGGAGTGGGCGGTGAAGCCCCGCCCTCAATTTCGTTGTTCGCACTTGTGATCTTTGTTAGTTGCCTTTTCAGTCAGGTGGGATGTTTCAGCTCTATTCTGAGAATGGGCATACGGTTTTGGCCGTAGGGCGTCAGTTTTAAGACCTTCAGGTACACACCGAATACAGCCTACAATTGGAGACTGCGTCGACATGCTCGCCTGCTTTGTTCAACAGATACGTTACCCTCGGATGTGCATAAACCCTGAACCTGTGAACCCCTGACCTGTTATATAAACCCTAAACCCTAGCCCAAGACCTCGCTGCAGATATTCGCTAGGAGCCCTAGGGGGGTTAAGGGGTAAGGGGTCTAGGGTTTAGGGGTTTAGGGTTTGGGAGTTTCAAGGGGCTCTACTTCCGTGTTTAGAACCCCGCGTGTTCTTTGCATGTTGGGTTCTAGAGACGTGAAAGTTTAGGAGTCTACAGGCTGTATTGCTTACAGTAAACCCCATAAAGTTGGAAACTGGATTAAGGGATTCCCTATACATTACTCTTAAGGATCGAGGCCCTGGGGTTTCCAACTTTTGGGCTTCTACTGTAGGGTGTGGTGTTTCTCAGCCCCTTAGCATCCTCCACCCCAAAAGCTACGCGCCTAACTCCAAGCCCGACGCCGCACACTGTACATTCCTAAACCCTTAGCCCTCAAACCCCTGTCTTAAACCCACGGAAGCAGATCCTCAAGATCCCTTCATCCTCGCAGAATAACTATACTAGAATATGCCTCCAAGCAGTGATTACTTTAATGATTCAGGCCCTCATGAAACCCTAAACCCTACTCCCTAAACCTTTAATTAAACCCTAAGCTCCCAAACCCCTACACCCCAGAACCCTAAACCCCTAAGCCCGAAAGCCCTCAACCCCTAACCCCTAAACCCTACTCCCTAAAACCCTAAACCCCTAAACCCTACTCCTTAAACCCCTCAACCCTAAGCCCTAAGCCCTAGTCCCTAAACCCCTGACTCAAGCCTGAAAAACAGCAGATCCTCACAGCCAAGGGTCAAATGCTCCATCGTCCCGGCACAGACTGCGAAGAAGGAGTTGGCCCTGAAGAAGGAAATCAAGGTCTGAACCCTTTTTTGGGTTTTGGGACTTAGGGTTTGGGTTTTGGGGTTTAGGGTTTTTGTTGACTTTCCCCTTACAATGGTTTCGGGTTTAGGTTTTAGGGTATAGGGCTTCCCCTTGAAAGAGATTCTGGTTTAGGGTGTTAGTCGGCTTCAGGGTTCTAGGGATTTAGGGTTGGTTAATTAAGGGTTTCAGGATTATAGGGTTTTTTGATACCAGTTGTCGGGCTTCAGGGTTTGAGTCTTTAACTTTAAGTCCAGGGCTTTTAGGGTTTAGATGGGTTGGGGGTTTGCAGGTGTTGGTGCTTTCGGGGTTTCGGCTTTGGGGCTATCGCTGGCGTGTGCTTAAGGTTCCTTACGAGGGTTTAGGGTTTAGGGTTTAGGGTTTAGGGTTTAGGGTTTAGGGTTTAGGGTTTAGGGTTTAGGGGGGGTCTGAGGAACAAGAACCCAGAATCAAGCTTTGATCGGGTGTTTCGGGTTGTTGTAGGGGTGCCGCAAGTTCTTACCCTAAACCCACGCTAAACTCTCAACCCTAAACCCTATACCCTAAATTTGTCAAAAAGAGAATGTCAAGTTTAGCAGGTTTTTGAGGGTCGGCTAGGGTGTCCAGCGTTGGATGGAGGGTTCAGGGTCTAGGAAATCAACTCTTCGACTGACCTTAAATGCTCAATAGCCCTCAGAGGGCTGGGTTTAGGTTGTAGGGCATAGGTTCTATGCACTACTTTAGACCCCAGGCCCGAAACGCCCTAACTAAGAGGTCTTGGGCTTTTGCGGCTTCGGGCCTCAGGGGATTGCGGGTTTAGAAGGTAGAGTGTTTGAGGGTTTAGGGCTGATGTAGTTATACGGGAGTGCAAGCGCGACCAGCGGCACCAGGATCGTCCTAACTAGTAGCCCTCAATTCTTCTTCTCGATGGCTTGGGGTCCAGGGGACGCGCCACATGCGTCAGAATTCTGGTGAAACGATGGAAAGAGAGGGCGAGTTCCTACTCCCTGGGCGATTTTAGCCCTTCGGAGCGTTTCTCAAAACCACTCTCCAAAAGCCAAGAAGTCAGGGGTTCCAGGCACCGCAGCGCTGTCGCGGGAGCAAGAAGGGAGACCGGAGCAGTGGCTGACGCCTGAACAAAAGCCCCCAAGGCTTCGCAAGCTTGTTCAATCCACTGACACTGCCGACGCGCAGAGGCAAGTGGCAGGCTAGCCAGAAATGGATATACGAAAGCTGGATCAGGGGGAGCCTCAACTCTGAACACGGCCTCAGGACCAGTGAGCACGAACGAGCAGCGGCACTCCTGAGGTGGGGCGAGTGGGGAGCAGGTTGGGACACTACGCTTGCCTGATTTCGGGCGACGAAAGTCCTCACACCACAACTCAGGGTCCAACAACAGGGCCGCGTCCGCAGCAAGCTCAGTGCACCCATTCTGCGCACGCTCATGCTGGGTCCAAGCAGTCAGCGTGTTACGCAAGACGTCCAAGGGCTCAACAAAGTCCAGCACAGTTGCCCAAATCGACTCGGAGTCAAGGGTCTGTAGGCCCAGCAAAGCCTCAAGGAGGCCTGGGTGAACCGCGGCGGAGTCCAAAAGGCCAGGGTCCTCCCCGAGATGCCCAGCGACTTGACACGGGGGTCGCTGCACATGAGGCAAAGCAGACGGAACGTCGGCACATTGGAAGGCCCCCCACTGTGTGCGGCAGGCGGTCGAGTGCAACAGGTGCCGACGCAATCGCTGGTGGTTAGCGTAAAGGCGTCCACACCCAGCACACAGCGGAGTGGACTGTTCCCTCGCCAACAAAGTTGCTGGCGCGCGGTAACCGTGGCATTTGGCGGCGTGAACAGCCCAGGCGGCCCTGGATGCAAAGGCTATGCGACACAGCAAACACGCATGCTTGAACTCCACCGCATCATCGACAGCATTCGGGGCTTGTCGAGCAGCACAGCCTACGATGCAGAGTGCTTTGCGCACGGCCTGAAAGGCTGCAAAAGCGCCCAAGCGCAAGCACTCAAGACCACGACCCCTTTTTACAAGACCACGAAAAAGTCGCGGACGATCGACCATGACCCGGACCCAGCTGTCCCAGTCAACGTTGGGGTCACCAAGGGTTGATGTGCCGGAGACCCAACGAAAGAGCCACCCGCACGCATCTTGGATGGCTCCCGTGAAGGCGGGGTCCTGCTTGAGCAAAGCCCAAAGCACGTCCGGTCCAGTTGCGACAAGCTGGCGTGCATATCGAAGTCGCTCAACTCGGAGGATCGTGAGGGGGTCTGGCTGCTGCAGTAGCGAGCATATCGCTTCTGTAGTCACCTCTTGGTCCCCGTCGTGCGGGATGCCCAGGCATTGCCGATAGAGGGCCACAATACATCGGCTGAAAGCCTGGTATTCCCCAACTCGAAGTGTTCTCCACGCCCCGCTCCCAAAAGTGAGGCGAGACATGACGAGGGTGCGAAGGAGGCAACCTTTGCGAGACGGCGTCAGTCGCTTCGAACGGAACACCTTGGTTCGGCCTTCCCTAAAGGCGATCCAAGCCTGCGCAACCCGCTGCTTGATTTCAGGTAGCAGGGATCCAGCAGCCTCGATCTTAACCCCCAGGTGCTTGTACACCGCCACAAGGGGAAGGAGCTCACCTTGGCGGTTTTCCGACAAAACAGGGACAACTGCTTTGCTGGAGAAAACGCTGCGACGGGCATGCCGCGCGCCAGGCCCTCGAAGGGCAACAACAGCGGCGGTCTTGCCGGGTCCAAACGAAAGGGTGTATCCAAAACCGGCGAAAGCGTCAATCAAGGTAGAAGCCTCTATTCCCAGACGGCGAGCAACCTCGGCAGGATCCCGGATGCAGAGGTATGACGCAACGTCATCGGCCCAGACAACCTCCGTGAGCGGCGTCGCGATTGCAGGCCGGATGGAGGGGCAGAAGGCACGCACCCCGTCCCAAAGCACATGGGCGGGAGGTTCCGGGCTGCAACCGGAAGCTTCAGCTCTCAACTGGTCCCTCAAGGCAAGTATTCCAGGGACGGTGACTCCAAAGAACAAGTCTGCCCACGAGGAGCCCGGTCTGCTGCCTTTGGTGGTGATGATTTGGCGGTCATCACCAGCCAGGGTCATCCAGGTGTGGTGGTTGAAGTCGTGTGTCATGGTCTCAAGCCATGGCCCGGCGCCACCAGCACGTAGGGCACTGGGTGCCGCGAGTTGGTCCTGTAGCTCAGGGGGCTGCGGATTCGCCGCCTCGGTGGTGTCGGTCGGATCGCGGGCGGTCAAGGCACGCACTGCACTATAATAGGCAGCTGCAACGTCGGCGAACAGAATGGCGCCTGACATTGAGAGGCTGGCACGCCACGAAAGGAACGACCGGCTCAAGTGGGCTCCAAAGAGCACACTGGTGCTCTTTTTGCCCCCAATTTGGACTGGAAGGGACCGGTTGTCGAAAAACCGGTAGAGAGCCGGCCGGAAGGCCCTGTGTAGGGTTTTTGCAACCGTAGACAGCAGCATGATCGCACGGTAAGACGAGCACTCGAGCTTACTTCCCCGGCCCTTATAGAGCCAGGTAAGAATGCCGGACTTGAGCCCAATGGGTTCCTGACAGTGCAAACCGACTTTCAGAAGCAGAGGTAGCAGGAGTTGCTGCCACTGGGCAGGGCAGGCATGCCCAAACTCGACCGGTACCCCATCGGGGCCGCTGGCCTTCCCCTTTTTGGCTGTCAGAATGGCTGCAAGCACATCAGCAGGTGCGGGGAAGTCGGCTCTGGGGATACTGGACACGGACAATTGCGGGGGTCGGGAAAGAGAAGCGATCTGCTCAAGAGAGGCCACTGTGCCAGCTTCCATGTCGCTGAAGTGCTGGCGCCATCGATCCATGGTGGACGCGGGGGTGTCACACAACTCACCTTGGTTGTTCAATAGCTGCGGCAAAACCTCGGGAGCAAAGGGCTTACGTCTGCGATGACCCAAAAGTTGACGCAGAGCGTGGAAGGACGCATCCTGCCCCTCCCCAACGGTGTCAGCAAGAGAGGAGAGATGTGCAGCACGGTCGGCTTTACAGCCCAGTCGAAGAGCCCGCGCCGCGGACTGCAACTCAGCGCCAAGGTTGACCTCCTGAGCACGTGCTTGTTGCATCCACCTTGACTGCCCAAACGTCATAGCAAGAGTGCGGCCGCCGTCACGCCAGGTTGAAAAGGCTGCAGCAACGGAGTGGAAGCAGATTGCCCTGCGCAGGTTGGTGAGCTGGCGTCTCAGGCGTGCAACAGCGGTGTGGCACGCCCAAGTGGCGTCAGTAAGGTATGCGTGCCGCCGCACGACACATGGCTTGGGGAACGCGGCGCGGAGTTCACGCTGCACATAAGCTACCAGCTGCGCTGCATGCGCGTCAGGGCAGACGCTCCACGGTATAGCCGGTGCACGCCCAAGGATATCCGCTATCCGCTTGCGGCCTTCAGGGGCGAGCATAGCCTGGACGTCCAAGCGGGGCGTGGCAGACTGCCTGGCCCCTGCGCTAAAGGACAGGACAGCTGTGACGGAGGCAAGCACAGCTATGTGGTCAACAACTGGCTGACCAGCGTGGATAGTGGGGTCGACCCAAGAGGACACTTGGGAAGAGCGCCAGCTCTGTGGCAAGCACACGTAGTCGAGACGGCTGGTAGCTCCGTTGCGCTTTTGCACATACGTGCCGCTCGGCCCAGGGTGGACATCCGGCCACGTGGAAGGCAACCAGAGGTCAAAGTGACGCGCGAGAGCATGCAGTTGCTCTCCAGCAAAGTCTTGAGCAGAAGCTGCATGGGGCCCAACGGCAGCCGACTCGATAATCCCTAGATCAGCATTGAAGTCTCCCATGACGATAAGGTCTCCCCGAGAGCACGATCCCTCAAGAAGCCTACCTGTTTCCTTCCACCAGGCCTCCAAGAGGGCAGCCTCGGAGCCTTTATGGGGACCATGCAGGGAAGTAAACACAAGTTTGGTTGCCCCATCATGGAAGAGAACAATGAGCCTGCGCGGGTCGGAGTGCAGGACGATAAAATGTTTCCTGAGAAATCGGACAGGCTGAACCCGGCTCCCGGTTGAGGCAACGACCGTGGCTCCCTGTCGAAACCAAAGTTCGGTGCCGAAGTTGCCCTTGGAAGCACCGGAACAGAAACGAAGGAACGAATCCGTAACAACGGTGCCTTGCTCAGTCCTGGCTTCCTGAACAGCTAGAACATCGACATTGGCTGCCTTGAGGCAAGCCGCTAGCAGATGAGGGCGTCCTGCAACAAACGCAAGTCCGCACGGGCCGTTGTCACCAAAAGACTGGCCGCAGAGAGACAGGACGTTGTATGTCCCAACTATGAGACGCAGGGTACCCCTCTGCACCGACCGGTTGTCACCGGTCTGGGTGGGGCAAAATGGTTCAAGGAGCTGGGTGGGCGTCATACCGGCAGTACACGCCGACGGTAGCACAGCCCCTGGACCCAGCATAGGCATAGTGGAATGCCCAGCAGCACACAGCAGAGCAACTCCAGCCCAGTCAAGGGAGACGCCACCAGATGCCCACCAGTCATGGGTACTTGCCGGGGTCCAGGAAAACTCCCCGACGGCATGGCCTTGAGCCGCACGGCGAGCAGCAAGGGCAGCTAGCTCATTTGCGAGGATGCACCTATGACCCGGGGAGTGGCAGAAAGTACGGGTACACGGGCACAAAGACCGGGCAAAGGAGCCAATGCGAAACAGGACACTGGCAGTGCCAGAGCCGGCACTTAGCATGGTGCCTTCGGCGATTCCGAGGGCAGCTGTGCAGTCGACACCGAAAATGATCGGGGCGGTATCACACCGGCAGGTCGTGATCCAGAGGGCTGCAATAAGTGCACAGCACTCAGCAACAAAGGCAGAAGCACCGCAGGTTGAGAGGAAACAAGACGGTACTGAGCCTGACACGATCCCAACGGCAAGAGTGCCGGGTTGCACAAAGACACAAGCCCATCCACAACTAGCAGGCCTACCACCTGCGGCAGGTGTGTAGGAACCATCAGTAAAACAGTGGAGGTCACCACTGGTGAGGTCGGCTGCGAGCGATCTCGAAGCGACTAACTTACTGACATCCTTAGATGTGGCAAAGCCTTGCAGGGCAGCAGGAGCCAACAGGAAAGGGTGCAAGAGCAGACCTTTCAGGTCACTGGCCCCAAAACCAAGACACAAAGGTCCCAGGTGCAGAGACTCGCCAGCTGCCAGGCCCTCAACGGCTGCCCGAATCCGGCTGGAGGGGGCTGGCAGCTCCCAAAATGGTGCACCCCACACACAGGAACAGGCAGGGTTGTGGCCGTAGTGGGGTTGCAGAAGGCTCTGGAGGCTCAAAGTGCGGGTTCTGGCCTCCTGGCACTCAGCACTGGCAGCCAGACGGCTGTCATCATCGGGCTGGGCCCGCTGGCGCGAATGCAGCCGGGAGCAGCAGGCCTGATGCTCGAAGAGAGCTTCGAGAAGGGTTGAGGCAAGGGCTGTCCTCGGACCTGACGCTTTCCTCGAGCAAAGTAACGAGAAAGCCAAGTGTGCCATACTCTGGGCAGTCGACGTTAAGGTCAACTTGGCCACGCTTGTTTTGGGTGGGAGCCGGGGGGTCGAACTTAGGAAACCCAAAACCAGAGGAACCCCGGCATGGAGTCGGGAGTGGCCGGACGGTGGGCCAAACGCTGGCAGAGTTTGCGGAGGCAGCGGTAACCGCACGTGGTGCAGCCTCGTCTGGCAGGCCGTAGCTGCTTGGGCATTCGACTTTGTAGCTAGCATCTCCAACGCTGACAGAGCAGGTTGGCTGGAGCACAAAGACAAGCAGGGCAAGCTGGACAGTCAGGCGGAGAGGAGGTTGAGCGGCGTTCGGCCAACAGCGTGGCCCACCAGAAAGGCTGACGGCGCTGTTGGTGTCTGCGCCGCACAGGACTGAACCTGCCAGAGTCCCCAGTGTTCGATGGAACATGGGACGGCAGGTCTTGGGCCTGACGGGGTCCAGAGGGGGCAACTCCTGGGAGCCCAGCTCCTGGAACATCATCAGCTTCAGAGTTGGGCGCATCATCAGGCTCTTGGCCCTCGATCCGTGCGCTCTCGTCACGTCTTCGTTGCAATGTGACACGGAAAACTTGGCCGGGGACCGCAAGTGTCTCGGTGTCGGCACCAATAGGCGGTGTGGTGGAGAGGACCCACGAAGCCGGTACCAGCCCTTGGAAGCACTGCTCAACAGAGGCAAGGCGCACCCTGCCGGCCTGACATGGAATCGAGGACCAGCCTCCAAGGATCGCTCGACCGTCGAGTAGGCAATACCCATCAGTTGCCGGAGAAAAGCGATCTGCAGGGCCATCGTAGACTGCTAGGACAGTACGGCAAGGGAAGCCTTGTAGGCATGCTGAGGTCGGTCGAGGGCTGGCCGGTGCGAGTCGCAGCCTTCGAAGATCAAGACTTAGCAGTTCTGAGACATCCCGGCGGTAGGACGCGCCCCGGTCGGCCTGCAGCCGGAAGAGGCGCGATTGACCTCCATATCTCAAGTGGTACCAGTCGTCAACAACTGCAAGGGGGAAAGCCGGGCCAGTACCCCACGGCAGGTGTGATTCAAGCTGTCCCCCAAGCGAGAAAAGGACGGGTGCTGGAGCAGTAGAAGGCATGAAGGTGATCGTCGTACCCGTTACAATATGCAGCACCTCGTCTGCGGCGACAGGGGTCGCCCGGTTGCCGACAAAGAGAGCAGGGCGGGCAGGCCCTACAACGGCAGCAGCGTTGAGGATATCATCAGCAGTGGCATCAGGAGGAAGGACAGCCGCAAAGACGCGCCCATCCCAGTGCCACAGGTCAAGACACGTAACAACGACCTCAAGAGCAACACTGGGAAGCGCGAGACACACTGCCCACCTCGCATCGGGTTGCGGCCAGACCGGCACAAGCTCAGGGAATGTAGCACGGATGGCGGGCTCTCTCAAAGCCTGTGCCGCGGCTAAGGCGGCAGGGACGAGGGAGGGCGTGGTGATGCCGGCAACAAGCCTCTCCGGGTAGCACTCCGGCGTCAATAGAAGAAATGGCAATGTCACACATGACGTCCTCTTCATCGCTGACGTCACTCTCAGAGAAAGCATCCTCTGGACTTGCAAGGCCGTCTACGGAATTCCAGTGGGAGCGCTGGTATGGCCAATCGAAGCCCAGCCGCCTAGTTCCAGTTCTGGCTGCCGCTAGCCTCGAAGCCTCCTGCCTCGTATGGCATGTTGGTTCGACATGTTGGTGGCAGTCCGGGCCCCGACGCCAACACAGTCGCACCGCAGTGGTCACAGCGCTTGCTATGGAGGAGGCAGCATAAGAAGCACAGCAGCCAAGTCGAGGCGATGAGAGCGCGAGAACCCATTGCACAACTCGCAGAGCAGCAGCTGGAGAGGAAGGGTGCGGCAGGAGGTAAGGGGTGCCGTGCCAGGAGCCAGGCACACCTGGACAAGAACTATCACGGCACATTACTACTCGACTGCCTGGCCCTTCACAGGGGGCCCCGGCTGGCCTCAGGAATGACAGAGAGGCCGGGAACTTGCTGGGAGGCGCTTGGCTGTCAGGGCCGCCACCCGATGGCGCAGTGCGTCGGGGGCCGTCACCAACAAAAGCGGCGCCGCCACCAGGAACAGGGGCGCCACGAGGGGACCGACTGCGTCGCTCACCCCGCCCACTGTCCGAGGAGTCATCAGCATCAGAGTCTCCCGAGGAGGCTGTGGCAGTGCTGGTGGTGCTGCCACTAGAAGACTCTGAAGTGGAGTCATCGTCACGCAGACGGTTGATGAACACAAAGTCAACCGTTAAGCACAGACCATCCCTCAGGGCAAAAGCAGCACCTTCAGAGGTTGCAACACTGTCAGCGCCTGAGAAGGCAACATGCATGCCTTCAGGGCACAGGTGCGCATAACGGTCTGCAAGGTCCTGGACAAGCAAAAAACGGTCTTGCTCAAGAGACCAGTCGATGCCTTGCAGGATGGGACGTTGGTCGAAGGCAACGGCAAGTGGTACTGCATCAGGGTCACGACGCCGCGGAATCCGCGTAGTGGCAATGACAACAGCAAACATGCCCCAGCCCCAAGCGTCATGATCATTGATCGGAGGGGCAACAGGTCGAAGGACAATGCGCATTGGGTCGCAGCTGAGTGCCTCAGCGACAACAGAGCTCCGGATAGGCGCGTGCGCGTCCTCGATGTCTAGCCGAACAGAGGTGGTGTCGGTCAGCAACCATATGGCCGGTGCATAAGAGAAAGGCAACTCAGCGCGCTCGTTCCACATGGCAACGCTCTGCAACATTTGCTCGAGGAGCACGCCTTGGACAGGATCCGGCACGTGGGGGGATATGCGAATCACAGCCCCATCATGCAAATGGATCTGCTGTCCATGCCTGAGCGCCTCCTCCTGAACAAAAGTACTGACAGAAAGCCAGGCACCGGCACCACATCCCGCAGCAGTCAGGAGTTCCTCTCTGGTGAGGGTGTCGGGGACCTGAGCGACAAAGAGCTTGCCGCTCCATGGCCTGCAGTCAAACAGGACGGTGATCAAACCATTAAGCCACTCGGGGAGCGCAAGGAGTACGGCGTATTCTCGAGATGGTTGGGGTATGGCAGGAAATACCCTAGGGAACCTCAGTCGCTCTATACGTGGACGCACAGACTGAACCTCTTGAATGGCAAATTCGAGAGTACAGGGCGCCCGAAGGGCCAGAACACTGCAGTCTGGCTTATAGCCAGGTGTCATGACAACAAACATGCCGTGAAAGAACAACGGCATTGGTGGCAACTGGGCTGCAACCGGTCGTGGATGTGCAAGCTCAGGGGCCTCTGGCCGGTCGGGTGAACGATCTCCCAAGCCCCGGGGGAGGTAACCAGCAAGGTGACGTGTCACAACGTCTCCAAGAATGGGTCGACCCGCAGCGTTTGTCCCTGGCACCCTGTGACTTTTCTCAGCACAGGCTGTGCAGAGTTCGATGGCCCCAAGGACACCCTGCAGACAACCCAAGGAGGGCGTATCGATAAGGCACAGCCTAGATTGGGAGGGCCGGAAATGCCTACTGACAAAGCCTAGGGCATGTTTGGCTACCCAGCAGAGGCTAATGACCTTCTCAAGAGGTCGGCTTTGCGAGGCAGCACGCTTGTCGAGAATGGTCCCCTCGAAAGAGCGGTCGGAAGACGAGGGCCGCGGGCCCCTGTTTTCGCGAGATCGAGAGCGAGTGCTGACATCGTCTGTTGCCTGTTCCTCCTCCGTTGTCTCGTCCGGGTTCTCACCTTCATCGCCCGAGTCACCCGGGTCCGGCGTTGAAGAGGAGAGGTTCCCAAAGTCGGGCTCAATGGTGTCTATGGGGAGGAACCCAAAGGTAAGAACCTCACCAGTGCAGACTTTGACACAACCCGAGCGTTGCCTGCCACCCTGGACGACAAGACGCCATCCTGCCGGCGGCGCAGTCGGGGACAGCCCCTGCAATTCCTCGTAGGTCAAGTAAGGACGCCCGAGACGCACAAACTGAGGTGACCCAGCAACCTGTCTAAGGTCGAGTAGGACGACAAAGTCCTGCGACCCGTCTGGGTTTTTCTCGACAAGGGCAATGACGCTGCGAAGGTTCGACCCCCGGTAAGCCAGGTGTTCCAACAAGCCGTCAGGGGGCGCATGAAAGGATACACTGGCACGCTCAACGCCCACAAAAGCGGCCACGGCGGCATCAACAGGTCCAGAAGATGGGTCGTGACGCCCGAAGAAGAATCTGCCACTGTGATGTAGCAGCATAAGTGCGCGGGGGGGCCGGATGAGAGGAGGCGGGCTCTCTCCAATCTGGACCTCCTCACCGCGGAGCCAAGCCCCCAAGTTCCAGCAGGCAGGTGGATTCTCATTTGCGCGAAGCAAGCGGATAACCCATTCTCAAGCCAGACTGGATCGTCATGGTCAATGGGCCTCAGATTTTCCCCGACAAAGAAGCGGCATCCCTCCGGCGTGGAGAACAAGCCAGCTTCGCGGAGCATTTCTTGCCGGGAAGTCGGCCTTGTCACAAAGCACGCGGTCAGCGGACCCTGCCGCTGAGGTTGCATAGATGTGAGGTCAAGGACGACGGCACTCAGGCCAGCAAAAGACGTCCACTCTGGATACACCAGCAGGACTGCACAGGACGGCCATGGTTGGACTGAAGCCGTAACAATGGCATTGCTGAAGGCCAGGTTCAGGGTGGAAACGTGCCTGGCAACACGTCTCTCCAGGTCCCTGATGTCGCACGGCCTCTGCAGCTCAAGGTCAAGGCTCTCGGGCACAAAGAAGGGAGAAACCACATGTGCCTTCAGTCCAGCGTGGCTGGTTGTCGCCGCTACCGGCATAACCCTAGGGAAGACTTCCGGGGGCAGCGAGTCTGGCCGCCCCTCGCCTCGAAGCCACGGCCAACCCCCGGGCGGTGCTGCGATGGCGTCCGGCCACATCCCTGCAACAACAGAAGGCTGCATGGCATATGCGGGGGTAGGCATGGCTAAGGCAAACCATACTCCTAACAACCTGCCAAGGCGTCGGAAACCTAGGGGCTTGGGAGCAGGTTTAGGGGCTAAACCCCTAGAGGGTGAGAATCTGCATGGTGGGCACCGGTCGCGCTGCTGCACTTCCAAACATGGCGAGCAACAGGACCCCAACGGCAGAAGAACCCTCTCATTACATCCTCCGCGCAGAGCAGCACGGATGGCTGCAGACCGGCGGCCGTGATGCAGCAATCGCCTGCACATGACGTTCAGAAGAAGCACAAAGGTCCACAGGTGCAGTCCAATAGCGATCCCATGAACATGCGCGGCAGCTGAGTCGAGGCTGCATGGGTTGGAAACCAAGCAGCCTGCTAGAAGCACGAGGGCACAGGCCCCTGGAAGTACTCGGCCTGATTCCCCGCTTGGGCTCGCCCTGCAACAGACCAGAGCGGAGCAGGCGAGGGCAAAGAGAACCGCGGTAGGCAGACGCCACCAAGGGGCATCCGGGAGAACATCAGCACGCCCCGAGGGAATGCCTTTCTGCACTCGGGTGCGCCCCTGCACCGGTTGCAAAATTCGGCCTGACACGGGAGCAACTTCAATGTGGGCGGCTCGGGATCCCCAGGTCCTAAACCCCAAGAGGGACAAGGAACCTAGCCTCCTAGAGCCGGGAACAAAAACCCACATGAGACCACCGGGGGCCTCGGAAGGCCACGAGCACGGGGAGAGGTATGTGGCTGAGAGCCCAGAGCCACCGATCTCACTATTTGGCGCCCACAACAACTCCCCTGCAAAATTGGGCCGAAGGCCGGGGGCAATCGGCCAAGCACAAGGACAAAAGCCCAAATCCAAGGCGGCCTGGCAGAGACACACTCCAAAGGAAACACAAGCCCAGTGTTCCAGAAGAGAGGTCGAGGACAACGGAAGGCGAGGAAGAGGACAAGGTCCTGAGATGGGAGTGGCCTTTGCGGTGCGGCTGGAAAACACGCCTGACCAACCTACAACTGTACAGGCTCTCACTGGATCTGTACAGGCCTCCGAGAAGCCCAACCACGGACGGCATGAGTCAAGCTGCCAGCCTTCGTCGCCAGCCCGCCGAAAAACTGTGCCCACACCGTATTCGGGAGCTGGAGAGTCCAGGACGGCGCTAGCCCAATCCGCTCGTGGGGGGCTTCCCACTAAGCAGGACGACCACCAGGTGGAGGTTCTCCAGGAACAGGGACAGGTGTACTGCCTGCCAGCTCGTCGTCGGAGGCGATCGGTATCTGCATAGGGCCACCATTTATCGTGGCAAACCCCGGCGCAGGCGGTGGTGTCTCCGGTGGCAGCCCGAATGGCCTCATGGCAGAACGCGCCCCAGATGTCCGCTTCTGAGCAACTCTTTCCTCCAAAGAGGGCGCGTCGCCAGCATCGTCCTTGGCATCGGACTGTCTCGGACCATCGTAGGGGCCAACCCTGGCCGGGGGCGAAACCGATGGAGCCGGCGCCTTGAGATAGGCGCCCCCAGGCGAAGTCTGATATGGGTCGACCATGGCAGCCTCTGTATAGTTGGTCCTGCCGGCAACAGCACTCGCTGCCCTCATCTCGTCCGCCATGCGCAGGATCTGTGCCTGCATCCCGGCCGGCACGGAAAAGGGATCTGAGGGCAGACCACCACCGAAAGCAGGAGCCGCCACGTTTGGCCCGACTGGCTCCGCGGGAGTCTGCGGAGGCATATTCTGTGGCCGTCCATGCAGGGAAGGCAGCCTCGACAGCCCGTCCGACGCACCTGCGTGTGCGAGTGCCCGACTCAGCACACCATTGAGGTCCGAGCCATCGTCCTGCTCCCAGGCCTCCCGGGTTCGGTCCCAGTCCATGGCCTCCTCCTGGTTCGCATCCGCCTTGGGCACCGCATGGCCAGCCACCGTCTGGTACACCGCTTGCCTCGCCAGGTCTTGAGCCTTCAGAGCTTCCGACAGCTCCGTATCCAACCTCTGCATGTTCGCGGTGAACTTGCGCTTCTCGCGAAGGAAGGTCTGCTTGAGCTCCTCGTCGTAGACCGCCCACTGCTTGTGAGCCTTGTCTCGGCTTGCAAGCAGCCTTTGTACCTTGAGTTCGGCCTTCCTCGCCAGGTTCAAAACCGGCTGAACCCCCATAACAGAACCAGGCTCGGGGTCTTCTGTGGGCTGAGCATTGCCCTTCGCGGCACCTTTCGCAGCCCGCCTGCTCGAGCCGGCCTCCGAGTCCTTCACCTGCATGGATTGGTAGGTTGGAAATCGTGGTCGGGGGGTCGAATCGCCCTCTCCCGGTTGCTTCCAAGGACGCTGGGAAGGTGAGTAGGCACCACGCCAGTAGGGGGTGGAGCCACCAGGGCCATCGCCGCCCTCTTGATCGTACCTGTTCCATTTGGCCTTGCCGCGGCCCATGCCCCGTTCCAGCTGGGCACGGAATCGCGGGCAGGTCGCGTGGTGCGACAGAAGCGCTTGGCAGTGGGCCTTGGAAACAGGCTTCCCAGCGCGCAAAGCCGCTCTTGTACGCGAGCGGCGAGCACGTAGCCGCCGATGCCACCCAGGGGATGGCTTATGCAGGCCTATCGCGAGGGCCGAAGAGAGACGCACTTCGTGCGTGGGGCCTAGGTATTCCGGTGCTCCCCGGCGATCCTGAGCCCTAGCCCTCAATAAACAGTGTGGCAGGGCGTCGTCGGACTGGAGGATGCGTCTTAGGTCATGAAAGAATAGTTTATTTCAGGAATTTGGGCTGTGCTGGCTTTTGGGAAACAGCGGCCAAGCAAAAATCCGCCATAAACCAGACCCCAGATTCCATGCTGAATTCAAAACCTGCATGAAGTCAAGATGCCCTCATAGTCCGCAGTATCACTGGACCGCAATATTGCCCGACAGCCCTATTCTAACCCCTATTCTAACGACTACTTAACGGATCACGGGGTTGAGTAGCTAGGGTTATAAATAAGGTAACTATACCTATAATAGCTTCCAACCCCAATTGGGGGACCTAATGCCCTACTAAGTAAGTCCCCTGATCCTCCAAGTAGGCCCTAAACCCTAAACTCTATAGATCCCTGGAAGGAACCCTATATAGATCCCTTTAAGGAGCCATTTAAGAACCCTTACTAAGTCCCCTGATCCTCCAAGTAGGGTCCCTACATGTAATGCTTCCGCTCGCACCGCGCCGGGGCTCGCATTGGCGTCCAGCGGCCAGTGGTCTCTTGGGTTGTGCGTTGCCAGCAGTAGCGTCTGAAGCCTTGATTAGGGTTTAGGGCTTATTCCTCCATGACCCCCCGATCTTGATATGTATGAATGCTCGCAAGTGCAAGACACATGATCTACTACGTAATCTGGGTAGGGAACTTAACTCAAGTTACCATACGAAATGGACCTATAGTAGATAACACGGCTTCTTTCTTATGGTATCTTAGGTTCAGTTGCGTAGCAAGAACCCCAGTCATAGCCCAAGAGAGTCCGAAGCAGAGTTGTGCCTGCCCCTCATGGCGGCCGGGAATCCCAACGCTGTAGAATCCTTTGCTCTTTGCCTGGGATACATAGTCAAGGGTTTAGGGTTTCGGAAATTCTAGGGTTTAGGGATGTTTGGGGTTTGTTGTGGGATACGTAGTCAAGGAATTAATTTAGGGTTTCGGAATTTTCTGGGTCTAGGGATGTTTGGGGTTTATTGTTTTTTTCTTGTGCTCGTCCTTCTGACATACTACTTGGAGGATCAGACTTAGTAAATAAGGTTATAAGTACCCCAATTGAGGATAGAAGTTGTTATATAGGTATAGTTATATCCTTATTTATAACCCAAGTTACTAAGTCCCATGATCCTTTAAGTACCCTTAAAACCCCCTTATAGAGCCCTTATCGATCCCTAATAGATCCCTCTAAGGAACCCTTTGCTGAGATCGTGCATTCGGTGGAGCGTGACACTGGGTCTGGACAATGGGCTCTGAGAGCAAAACGCTCCTACAGACTGGCCCGTGCAACACTTGATTCTGGGATCATGTCACCTGAACAATGTCGTTGCTCGTGAAAAGAAAGGCTTGACACGAGAACTGTTGCAGGAACTTTTTAGTGCGGCTCAAGCATGCGGCGGTGACACCGTGGGTGTTGACTTCAATCAGGCAGTTCTTCAGTTGTCCCTAAACCCTAAACCCTAAACCCTAAACCCCTAAACCCTAAACCCCTAAACCCTAAACCCCTAAACCCACGATCCCCCAAGTACTTACCATGAGCACAATTCGCGATTCGTCTGAGAGCCTTTTTGGGCCTACGGGCTAAACCCTCCAGAGAGCCCAACACAACTTCATTAAGGAATACCTAGGGTTCCTTAAAGAGCTTCTTAAAGGGATCTATAAGGGGGTCTATAGGGGAATTACAGGAGTATAGCTTAAATCATAATATGAATCCCCTTATAATTTAAGGTATACTCCTTAATTAAGGGGTATTGGGCTCTCTGGGCCTGAGCACCCAAAATCTTTGCAGAACCCGTGAGCTTAGGGGTTCCTTGTAGGTTTCGGGTTCAGGGTTTCCTTGTAGGTTCAGGGTTTAGGGGTTCCTTGTTGGTTTAGGGTTTAGGGTTTCCTTGCAGGTTTAGGGTTTCGCCTTTCCTTATGGGTTTAGAGTTTAGGGTCTAGGGTTTCCTTACTTTCCCTAAAGCCGTTAACCCGACAACCCTAAACCCTGAAAGCAGCACCCTTACGTCCCAAGCTTCCCCCCTATCGCCGGCAAAAAACCGAACCCCTCAAGCCCTACACCCTAAAGCATGAATCAATAGATCCTGGGTGGCACGTCAGGAAACTTTAAAGTTTCCCCTTGGGTGGTTGTCAAAATTAGGGTCCCGTTTTGGGTCCTTAATATAATACGGCACCTAATATATAAGGTCACCATAAAGGGACCCTAATTTTGACAACCCCCCCCTTATGGTTCCTTTTGAGGTATCTACTCGCAAATACGTGTAAGGACCCCAACACTACAACCAGCTGCAGGCTTTATTACAATTGTTTGTTTTGTTATTCCTATTACAACTGTCATTATGGCGATATCAATATTTGTATATATATATATATATGTATGTATGTATACATCTATAGATAAATGTACATCAATAGATCCCGGTTTCAGACTTTGTTGTGTCTATTGCTATCATTCTGGGGGGAAATCCCAGTTTTGCTGAGCACCCTAAACCCTAAATCCCTGAACCCCTAAACCCGAAATTCCTAGACACCTAAACCCTCCAATATAAATCCCTAAATCCTTAGACCCCGCAACCCTAAATCCCGAAACTCCTAAACCCTTAACTCTAAAGCCCAGTTTTCGCTGAGGACATTGTAGACCCTTAGAGACTCCTCACAGAACCCTTATAGAACCCGCAGTTTTCGAAACCCGAAACCCTATAGCAACCAAAAAAGATGCCGTTAAAAGGAACCCCCAGCTAGGACCCTGTAAGAAGCCTCTACCCTAAACCCTAAACCTCTAAACCCTAAACCCTAAACCCTAAACCCCTAAACCCTAAACCTCTAAACCCTAAACCTCTAAAAAGCCCAGTTTTCGCTGAGGACATTGAAGGCTCTCGCCAGGCCAGGGAGCCTTTGGCCGCCGCAGAGGCGGTGCATTTTTTGGGGCTCTGGGGGGTTTAGGGGGTTTAGGGGTTTAGGGCTTAGGGTTTAGGGTTTTAGGTTTTTAGGGTTTAGGGTTTAGGGTTTAGGGTTTAGGGTTTTAGGTTTAGGGTTTAGGGTTTTTAGGTTTAGGGTTTAGGGTTTTTAGGGTTTAGGGTTTAGGGTTTTTAGGGTTTTTAGGGTTTAGGGTTTAGGGTTTTTAGGGTTTAGGGTTTTTAGGGTTTAGGGTTTAGGGTTTAGGGTGTGTCTGGCGAGGTCGCGCGCTCGGGTGTGAAGCACCCCGGGCCGCGCGCTCGCGTTGCTTGTAAACCCACCCCGGCCACCCAAACTATTCTCTGTTAGGGTTTAGGGTTTTTTTTAAAGGTTTTTTTCGCCCCATGTAGAGTTGTACTGTTTAAGGCGTGGCGTAAGGTTTTACTTAGGGTAAGGCGCGGCGCAGCCTCGGCCCTTGTTGGACCGGCGTGTCAGGGTTCGCCGAAGCCGCTAGGGAGTTGAAGACCCCACACTCAAACCGACATCTTGGATCGCAGCTTTGGCATGTAGCAAGTAGTTATAGGCAGGTCTGCTATTAGATTCTGTGCATCTGTCCTGGCATCCATCCGCGCTCCCCGAAACTCGAAAACCCTTCTTACAAATCCCGAGCACCCATAGCAAGAAGAGTGAGAAACCCAGGGGGAGCCCAGCAGCCTTCCAAGTACCTCCTCGAGATTGGCTCCTTCCTTGAAGTCGGCCCCAGCGACGCCGCGAGGCGCGCGGCAGGCCGACAGACGAAAGGAAGCAGTTTGGGCAAGGGACCGCAACCCAGGGTCCTGGAGCCAAATTCGCTGCAGCAGACACGGATGTGCTGGCAATGCTGACGCCCAGGCCTGAGTGCAAGCAGGGAATGCAATTACCTCTGCATCTTCCGGAGCAGTCGGACGGCACCCAAATGGGAAGCCCAATGGTTTGATGCGCAAGTCTCTTGGTACCTCACGTAGCAAGTACTAGTCACTCAAGTAGCAGTCGGCACTCAATCGACAATCCGACGCTGCTCCAGCCGATACTGCCGCTCTATCACTCGGGGCAACTGCAGGATGACCCAGTTGACGTGTCAGGAAAAAACTCAGCGCGGTTGATTTTTGCCTGCATGTCGGCTGCGCTTGAGAGGTGCATGCGGTCAAGGCTGTTCTTTCCTGGACAACGGCAATGCAGAGAAGTTTGAGAACATTGTCCGGACACGCGACTTCGAAAAGAAGTGATACTGTCAGGATTCTTCTTAGAATCTGCTGTCGGTCCGGCCTCCCGGCAGTTCGCGCGGGCACTGACAATAGCCTCCTGCGCAGGCGCTATACAGATAGTGAAGTCAGAGAACGATGCCTGTCAGATGGCTTCACTGCGCCGGCACGAAATGCTTGGGTCCCACTGCGCCCGCCACCAGGTAGTCCCCGTCGTATTCCACCCGGGACATGGCCACGTAGGCGGCAGCCCGGCAACCCGGCCTGTCCAACCAAATGGTGATGTGCGGGAGGGTCGCACCCTGAATTTTTTGGATGGTGCAGGCGTACCCTAGCCGCACCGGGAAGCACGTCACGCGGCCGTGGCCTTCGATCTCTTCCGTGACGAGGTGGACGGCCAACGACTTCCCAGTGGCTGTTATGACATGGAGACACTTGCTCTCGCTGTCGTAGTCTTCCACGGTGGCCCGCATGCCATTGACGAAGTCGTTGGACTTATCGAGGTTCTTCGTGAGGAGGATGCGCTCGCCCCTGAAGACGTCCGTGTGGCTCGGCGAGAGTGGACCCTTGCGAAGCTGTCCTCGTCCCTCAAAATTGTCGTCGTTGGCGTCGTAATCCATGGGGATGTTGCCCAATGGCCTCTTGCGTCTGTCGTGGAAGAGAACTTTGGCAGCCAGCTTGTTGAAGAGGGCACTGGCGCTGCGCGTGCAGGTAACCACCGTGGTGTCGGATTTTGTGCGTAAAAGCTGGGGAACATCCCAAGCGGTCGGCTTGGAGGTCTTCCAGGCGCGACGGCGGCGGAGAATATGCTTGAGTTGCTGCTTGCTCGGCACGGAAGTGCGCAGGCAGTCGAGCTTGCGCTGCAGGCAGGCATCCTTGCATCGTACCTGCTCGTAGAACTGCACGACCTGCACGTTGGCACGCCAGCAGCTGCTCTCGTCGCACCTCGGCTCCTTCGGATCCACGGTCGGCAACTGCCAGAAATCGCCCAGCATGACCAGACAGGGCAGCCGCTCCGCAGCGCGCCACATCTCCAGCAACCGCTCGAACTGCGCGGCCGTGAGCATGGACACCTCGTCCAGGATGACGAGGTCGTACTGGGTAAGCACCCCCATCGCCTCGGAGAGGTCCTTGTGGAAGAGCAAACCGCCGTGGAAGGTGTCCACGTCAATGTCCGGGTGCTTGGCCCGCATGGCGGCCGCCAGGTAGCCCGTCGGCAGCGCGAAGAGGATGCGTGCGCCCCTCGCCACGCCGCGCCGAATCTGCTCGTGCACGGCGAACGTCTTGCCCGTCCCGGGCGCGCCATGGGCGAGCAGCATGGGCTTGCCGCGCGCGGCGACGACGGCATCCTCGTACTCCTCGTCCGTGGAGGCCTGGCTGGCTGCAAGCGCGATGTCGAGCCTTGCTTCTAACTCGGCGTTCAGCCGCCGCTGGGATTGGGTGAGCCGAAAACGGCGCTGTTCTATCGGGAGGGGGGCCACTGCCGGATCCGCGTCCGAGATATCCGCATCGTCGCACTGCTCCAGGTCGCCGGCGAGGGCGCGCTCCACCAGGTGGCGCTGCGCGCGAACCTTGCCAAGGATGGTGGCGACGTGCGCCCGCGACTGCGCCTCCAGCTCCATCTGCGCCTCGATGGCTCGGTCGTTCTCCCAGAAATCCGGCGCATGGCGCAAAGCCAGAGCGAACTGCTGATAATGCAGGGGCACCTTTTCCCGGATGTCGGGGTGCATTGCTTGCAGATCTTCCAGGTGGCGGAAGGGACGGTGTAGCACCAGCCACTGTCCGTAGTACTTGTCATGGAGCATGGAATTCATGCCGGCGGCGATGAGCTTCTCGCCCCGGCACTGGTAGTCGTTGGCAAACTCTTCGAGGGAGGGCGCGGCCACGCCATGCTTCTGGGCCGCGAAGACCGCGAGGGGCGTGAACTCTTCGAAATCGGCTTCGGCCGCGCCCGCATGGGCCTTGTGGTCCTTGAGGAAATCAGCGGCTCCTTGTTGGGCTTGTTTTGCGCTGCGTCCACCGGCTTGCAACGACATCGCAACCAAACGCAGAACCTCGCGCTTGTGCGCCTCCCGGATATGGCGGATGATCTCTCCCGTGGCATTGCTTTTGCGGAGGTATTCCAGGAAGCACATGTCATCTCGTCGCCAGTCGCTCGCCTCGTAGTTCTTCAGGAGCTGCGGTTTCGCGGTGCAGTCCAGGGAAGGTGTCATGAGATTCAGCATCGAACCGGAATAAGCAATCTGCGGAAACCGCTCCTGGGCCAGCGTGAGCCACATCTCGGGTTCCAATGGATGATAGCTGAAGAGGATGCGCCGCGCGACGCTGTAGTCGGAGGCTTGATCGTTGAGCCACTCCTGGTCCATGGAGTCACTGAACTTGGGGGCGTAGCTGGCTACGTAGCGGAGCACGGCGCCGTTGCCGTTGCCTTGTTGCACATCCTCGTGGCATTTCGTGATGCCCAGCGTCTGCGGGAAGTACGGCCGGAGGTGCAGCTCCTTGTCCTCCGCTGTGTGCTGCAGCCGTGCAAGGTCGGCGCTCGCGTCCCAGACCGACGGATCTTCGCGTACTTCCACGCCGGAGTCGGTGTAGTCGCGCTGGCCGTCCAAGACCAAGCCGTGGAGCAAAGGGTCCTCGTCCCTGCTGGGCAGGTGTGCAGAGATCTTGTTCTCGAGGCCGATGGCAGCCTTGTTCTCCAGATAGTCCAGCGAGTGGCTGTGCGTGGTGCCACGCCCGTGGTAGTGCTGCCGAGCCCGCTTGCGCCGACCGTCCTGGAACTCGAGGCGCGTCACGTGGGCGAGGACGGTGTTGACAGCAGGCGAATCAACGGCTCCCAGAAGGTGCTTCGACCAAGTTCGATCTGCACGCCGTCGTGCTACACGAGCTCCACACATCAAACTCTTGTCCATCTCCAGCAGGACGTGGGCCTGGTGCAGGGTCTCGGCTCCGGCCAGGTGCATGCGTGGGCGCCCTGCCGCACGCTGCTCGTGCATGACCCACTCGTGGTAGGGGAAGCTTCGCTCGTAGGGGGCTCTCGTGCGGAACAGGGCCGCGTTGCCGCACTGGCGCTGCATGTCGATCACGGCTTGGTGCCGGATGCGCCAGTATTGCGGTGTCCACGGACAGGCGCCGAGCACCAGCCGCAGAGGCACGTCGGCCTGGCGGGCGATGTTCTTCTTGGTGCCGACCGTGGTCCAAAGGCTGAGGTCATAGACGAAATGCAGCAGCTCGTAGTCGGTTCCGTAGCCGATTACCGGCGACAGCACCTTCCGGATGAAGCCACGCTTGATGCGTCCGAGCTTGCTGCAAGCGATGTCCTGGGGTTCGGCGTCCTCAGCGCTGTCTTCGTCCTGGCTGTGGGCGGCGTCTCTGTCTTCCCGGTCGCCGGACTCCTCGCTCCGATCGCGCTGCCGCTTGCGCCGCTGCTGCCGGCGCTCGTGCGCCGCCCTCGCGACGGTCTCGCAGAGGCCCCGCTGCCAGTAGAGGTGCGGCCAGAGCGCGCACTCCAGCCCCGCTTCCTCGATGAAACGCAGTGGCAGCTTGCGCGCCTTCTCCGGGCGATCGGCCCCGCGACGCTTCAGGAAGGCCTTGTGGCGGTCGTAGAAGGTTGTGTAGTCATGCGAGGCCGCATTCGCCAGCAGGTAGGTCAGCGACGTCCACGCCTTAGACCGGTCCTTGTCTTTGCGCAGCGCTCGAATCTTGTCCTCAACGCTCTTGGCAGCCCAGGCGAAGGTAACCATGGAGCTGTGGATGCGGTATCCGTACTGGGCACGTTTGAAGACGCCGGCGTCGATGTCCAGCGGGCGGAGGGCCTGGATGATGCGTGGCTTCAGGTGGCGCAGCGGCTCGGGGATGTCCGCGGGCTGCGGAACATACTCGCCATGCTTGCAAGCCGTGCATGTCTTGGCGGAGATGCCGGGCGCTGCCCTGCGCCTCAGATCCATCGGCTGCAGCGGCCGGGGCTGGAGTGAGCCGCACTTCTGGCACATGCCCCAGGAGCCGTGCTTGCACCACTGCTCGACCATGCGGGCTGTGGAGTCTTTTGGCGACGGCAAGCCCGTGTCGTTGGCGGCCACGTCCTCGATTTGGCCGCACTTCTCCGTGACTTCTCCGATCTCCGCTTCCTCCTGCGCTGCCGGCGCCTGCTTGTACAAGTTCTCTGGAAAGAAGACCTTGCGTCGCACCAGTCGGCGGTCGCGACGGACCGCCTCTGCGTAAGCACGCCGCGCCTTCCCGCGCACGCGGGGGAAAACCGGGCTGCGGCGACCCAGCAGGTCCGGCCAGCGCTGCTGGCGCGCTTGTCGTCTCCGGTTTGGCTGCATCATCTTGGCCTCCAGCCTTTGGGCGGCAGCCTCGCCCTCCCACGCACGGACGCGCTGGAGTGCGTCCCCGGCGATGTCTTGCTGAAGTCCCCAAAGCTTCTTCAGCATCTGCAGCACCTTCGGACGAGGCGACGCCAAGGCCGCGCGCAGGGCCACAGGGTCGCAGAAAGGGCAGCATGTTTCTCCTCGTTCTGGATGGATCCGTGAGCAAAGCTCGCTGGCGAACGCGTGACGCGCCGCGGGCCGCCTCCTCACGAGCTTCGCCACGGGCTTCGCCACGGGCATCGGCTTCGGTCTTTGCCGTGATGGCAACTGCTGCTGCGGTCCTCGTTCTCGGTTGGGCGAGTCGCGCACGGAGCCACCGGGCCGGCGCGCAGCCCCAGGATCAGAACCGCTGTCTTCGACGTCGGCCTCCGTGTCCGCGACGTCAGAGAGGTCCAGCTCACGGTCAACGGGCTCCTCCGTCGATTCTTGACCAGCGCCCACATCGGAGTCACTGCTGTATGCATCCTCGGCCTGCACTGCGTCGGCGTCGGCGGCCGCCTCCTCGGTGTCAGAGACGTCAATGATGTCGGCCGACACCAGCTCCGGCTCCGCGTCGCCGACGTCCGCCTCGATGCGCGCGTCCTCGCAGGTGTCATGGTCGTCGTCCTCGACGATGCCGATATCCGAGTCGCTCGTCGCGCCGTCGTCCACAGGGTCGTCTGTCACATGCTGCCACCCGAACTCGGCCTCGAAGTGCTCGCGATAGGTTTCCTCGTCGATTCGCTCCTGCGCCACCCTCCTAGAATCCGTCGGCATACCGCGGAGGAGCTGTCGAAGGCGGCCCCGTCCACCGCCGCTGCTGCACGCCTTGTTCAGCTGGCCCGGGTCGCACCAACAGCACCTGCAGGTTGCAGCTAGAAGTCATGACCTTCTTACCGTGTGCTTATTCCACGCTCGCTTCGGCCTGCGCTCGTACCCCCCGTGCCTCGTCTGGCCTGGCTGCGTCTGGCACGCCCTGCCCTGCTTGTTGAAGACGCACGCCGCGGGCGGGTCAGCCCGGCCGGCGCAAGTGCGCACCATGGCAAGACGGGGAGACGGGAAGTTGAAGCGTGGATGTCTGCAAAGCTGCGCAGGAAGCCTACAGTTACAGCAAGGTTCGCCAAACAGCTGTCATTCCACCCTCGAATCCTGTACAAGACGTCCTGCACGCTGCAGACACGACAGCTGGCAACAATCACACCCTTCCGTGCAACGACCCTCCTGGACGGCCACTGATGTCTTTCGATCTTTTGCTCATCCGCAAGGGTCGCAGACATGCATTGGAAAAACCAACGGTGGCCGTCCCCTGGACGGAAGCCGCAACTCAGCTGCCAGCTCAAAACGATTCAGGCAGCGCTGGCGACGGCAGCCGGTCGACGGAGTGAGCGGCTCCGGGATCGCGTCGTCGAGGATGCAGGGGGCATGTAGCGACGCCATGTGACGGGGCCCGGCCTTCGATCATGCGCGACTGCTTCTGGAAGGGGTTGTACCTCGAGGAGCGGCCATACCCAGGTGTTCTTGTAGGGAAGCTGTTCGCTCTGGACGAGGTGGGCGTCGGCTTCGGCAGCAAACGCCGCTGCAGAACCCACGCGCCGCGGCGCGCCTATGCGAGCCCAAGCGCGGATCTGCCCGCGGGCGCTCAGCCAAGCGCCGCCGGGAGTAGTGCGACAGCCGCGCACTTCCAAACTCTTGCTCCCATCCAGAACACGTTCCAACCAGTAGGACTCGAAGAGAAGGATGCGATCTCCCGGTCGCGGCGCCGCGTGAGAGGCTGGCGGCAATTGTTGAGCAGGCATCCAGTAATTGCCAGGACTAGAAGCTACAAACTGCTAGCGGGGCGCTGAGAAGTAGGGAAATGGCCGCCACGCAAGCAACCATCCAGACAACTTAGACATGTGATTCCGGAGACGTCGAGTGCTGGACTGAAGAATATCGCCCCGCGGAGTCTTTTGTCTTGTCTCGAGAGTCTGCAGTTCTGACAAAGCTCCAACAGTGAATACAGGTGGATAATGCTTATTGGAGCATTGTGCGTAGCAGCCGCGACGTAGCTTTTTGCAACTAGAATAAGCATTCATGCAAGACTTACGGCGGCTGCGTCGAAGCGGCGAACCTGTACATTCTGGACGCTTCAGGGGTGTACGGCAGCGAGCCGTGGTCAAAGCAGGGAACGCTCAGCCTTTGACAGCATGCTCCTGCAAGGACGGTGAACTGGGTGTAGTTTAGCCTCCTTTCCGTAAAAGAGCCACGCGGATGGTCGTGCTGGCCGGGGTGGACTGAGCCGCGAGCTGATGGAGCTTTCCGTCATCCCCCATCCCACGGATCTCCCAATTTTGGACGTCCGCCTCGCTACCCTGGGCGACCATGAGGCGCTCGACGGCCTGGGCTACCGTCTCTTCACTGTCCACGATCTCCACTGTGTCCACTTCGTCGCTGTCCCGGACGACGGCGATTCCGTCCGCGGAGATGGCATTGACACGATGCACGGTCAGAGTTGGCTTGTCGCCCTCGCCCCGAGCCTCGAGGGCGCGGCGCGTGACGCTCTCCGCCTTCGTCAGCACGGCCTTCACGGTGTCCTGGCGCGGCAGCCGCGACATTTTCTTCAGGGCTGCGAGAGGATCTGAAAGCTCCGCCAATTCCAGCACCTCTGGCGGCAGGTTATCGAGCAGCGACACGAGCGCCGGGAGGCTGAGACGGCGGGTCTTGTCCTGGTAGTTGGCGAGGCCCTTCTCGACATCATTCAGCAGGGTCTTGATGTCCTTCACCGGCCACGCCTTAACGGCTTCTTGCAGCTGTGCGTTTGCCGCCGTTGCCGATGAGATACTCTCCGGCGAGTAGGAGACGGCTCCACGGCCTGGCGAGGCCGACTTTCTCCGCTCGCTCTTCTCCTTGTCCGTTCTGCCGGACTTCTTCCTTCGCTTGCTCTCCGCGCTGGCACTCGCTTTGCGCTTTTTGCCCTTCTTCTTGACCTCGCTAGACTCGCTGGACGCGGACGCAGAGACGTCGGAGCCGGCCGAGGACTCTGCTTGGCTGTCGTCGGTGTCGCTGTTCTTGCCCTTGGCGTCCTTCTTGGCGTTGGGCTTGTTGTGCTTTTCGATCTTTTCCAAAAGGCTGCTGACCAAAAGGGCCTTGAGCTTGTCGGAGTCCTCGGGCTTCTTCCGCCAGGCTGCGGCGGCCTTCCCACCGGCCTTCTTCGGTGCCTTCTCCAGCTTCTTCGCGTAGATCTTGGGATTGCCCAGCAGGTCCCCTGCCTCCAGAGCCGTCATGGCAAAGAGGTAGACACGGGCGGAAGATGTGGCCAGAGCCGTCAGGGCCGTGCGATCGGCATCGCCAAGGGCTTGAAGGGTGTCTACGAAACAGCTGATGGCCCGCTCGATGTGCTTCTTGTCGGGCTGTCGGCTCTTGCCCGTGTCTAGAACCTTCAAGGCCTTGACGAAATCCCCGTTGTCCTTGAGAAATTTGGCAACGCCCTGCAGGCCTGTGAGCTTCTCCTTGCTGACGTCCTGGCTGCCAAAGCGTAGGGCGGCTGCACCTAGGGAGACGGCCATGCCCGGACGGCGGAGGTACTCGCAATTCTTGATAGTTCGGGTCTTGACGATGGCCTTCGAATCGAGAAA